AACTTGGCAGAATTTTAATCTTTCGAATATCACAATAATATTCATACCTGTTGTAAATGAAACCTACTTTATGTAGAGGTTACAGTGTAAGACTGGCTGTATACGATTATTTAAATAATGACATATGTTAATTTAAGTGAGTTGTTAAAAAAAAGTAGAGAAAAGAACATGTTTTGAATAGTATTAAAATAATATCTTGTTTTTATACACAATTGTATTAATATTAATTTAAATGAGAATAAATAACAAACTTTATTTATTTAATCATTTTGTGTGCTGGCTAAACCAAATTCCTATCAAAATACCACTTAACCTTGACCAATATGTCTAGAAAAAATAATAAAAAAATCTGATGTATCTCTACAGATACACTAACAAGAAAAGGGTTAAATTATTTAAACTTTTGTAAGACATTTTATAATTAATTATTTAACGGCTCACTCATGTCATACTTTTTTCCGGTGACCCTACGGGGGTCTGAAACTGGTCGGTGCCGTCACCGGAAAAAAGTATGACGTGAGTAAACCGTTAAATAATTAATTAACTTTGATATATTTTACAACAATAAGGATAACTGAACAATCACAAGTTATCATGCTTAGAAATTTGGAGTCTGGTATCAGTAGATTTCTGTTATTACGTAAATTACTACTATGTTAATATTTCTGGTGATAGGTTGAAAAAAGGTAAAATCGCAAGTTTTGAACTTTAGGAGTCCACACGGGCGAAGTCGTGGACAACCGCTATAACGTATTATAATATATTATAACTAATATATGGTTCTTTATTTTTGATATGAAAATGCTTACAGCATTAAGAGGGATTTGAGAACTTTAATTGAGATAAAAGGTTGATTACTTGACTTTCGATTATCTACATTATTGAAAAGTGATTTCGTATCTTAGATACATATTCAAACAAATAATAAAATGCTATTATTCAAACTATATAACATTTATAATATAATATACTATTTTACTATTTTTCTACCGATAATAATAAACATATCCGGAGACATTACATTTGTAAAGACTACGACAGTTTAAAGTTGAATAACATTTCATATACAATTTTAATTTTTTATAAACACCGAAAATAAATGTCTTACATTTCTGAGAGACTAATTATTTTTCAAGTTAATTTTTTAAAAAATACGTGTTGATAAATGAAATATAATTAGTAGTGTTACCTTTATCTTGAAGAACGTGACGCTGAGCTGCTGGCCGGACTCGTCCTTGCCAAGTGACGCAATAAATATGTCGTGTCTAAAAACATTTTATATGCTTTTATATTGCTACATTTATTATTATTTATATTGAATATAAATGATTACCGGTCCATATAATTTAACTAGGTAAAATCTAACTAATATTATTAGTACTAAAGTTTAGATGGATGGATGTTTGTTAAAATTTAGACACTAAGAGGCTAAACGTATCTGGATGAAATTTGACATAGGTTTAGAGCACAGTCTAAAATAACAGATAAGCTAATTACTTTTGTTTTTTTTTTTATTTTCACGAGGTCAAAAGTTAGTTAAATCATAATAATAACAAATGTTTCCGAATATATTCAAAACGGCTTAACGGATCTCGCTAAAACTTTAACAGAGATGTAGAATATAATCTGGAAGTTTACATAAGCAATTTAATAAGTAACGAAATCGCAGACAAAAACTAGTTAATAATAAAAAAGTTAAGACCGAACTCATGTAACATTAGAACATCCTAACAACTGTCGAATATTTAGTTCAAAACTGAATGATTGAACGGGTGAATGTATTGAACGAGTGAATGTGTACCGCTTAATGAGCTGGTGCACGCGCTGCTCGCGCTCGCGGATCTCGCCGCGCAGCTTGCCGCACTCCTCCACCAGCGCGCGCTTCTGCACGCCGAACATGTCGCGCCGCGCACTTATCTCCACCAGGCGCTCCTTCATCGCCT